CTTCCTAACCATCGTAAGCCTCCCTCTGTCAAACTCCCGTCTGCAGCCCCCTGTCCGCTGAAAGTGTTGTTTAAGCAAGAAGTTTAGGTTTTAAGGGGAATAAAGGGAAAACAGATAGAACCGGCAAGGGACCCTCGCACCCTTCCCAACTCCCTTGCGAAACTCCCTGTTAGCAGCCCCTGGTCGCAAAAGCTCCCTGGTCGCTTGTGCGCTGCTTTATAAAGCCCTGGCCTGTATGAATGCCCCGCCCGCTGATTAAGGCTCAGCCACTTACCAGAGGCTTCTAGCTTTCAAACCTTCCTTTGAAGCTCACAGCTTCCAACTGCCAGCCACAGCACACGGTCCTTCAACCAACCAACCAACCAAAGAGAGTTCACATTCTGCTGGAAGTCCCAAGGGTCTCTTGACTGTTGATCAGTTGAAGTTTTGCTCTTCAGGGGCTCATGGGTGGCTAAATCTGCTGAAATCTTTTCTTCACAAGAACAATGAAGAATTTCTAGTAGTTTGTATCATTTCAGCAAGGCTTTGCTGCTCCTTTCTCAGTTCCAAATCAGCCCAAAGTTCCAAATCAGTTACAAGTTGGAATAATTTGTTTCGGCTATTAATTTGAAAACTCCAAGCTGTATGAAACCAGTGTTGTATCCAGCGACCTACTAAAGAAATCCACTTTGAATTTAAATTTTAAAATCATATATTTTCAAATCCTCCCATTCAGAATCAAACACAAACAAATGTTTGTTTTTATAAAAGTATTTGTTTTGAGTGTACCGCAAGCAAAGCCACTCACTCATTTTTGAGTCAGTGTACTGAATGTTTCAGAGAAACATAGGACACAGATTGGAAGGGATCTTCTGGGTAATCAAGTCCAGTCCCGTACTATCACAGGCATGCCATCATACAATCTCATCCATAAATTTATCAAGCTCCATCTTAAAACTAGTTAGATTGTTTGCACCCATTACTACTATTGGGAGACTGTTGCAGAACTTCATTTCTTTGATGGTTAGAAACCATCTTCTAATTTCCAGCCTAAATTTATTCATGGCCCATTTGTTCTTGTGCTGATGTTGTCCTTTAGTTTAACTAGCTCTTCTCATTAGCATACACCTACTTTTTGTGCCAGTGTCATTGAAGAAAATATTAAATAAGATTGGTCCCAAGAGCAATCCTTAAGGAACTGCAGTAGTAACCTCTCTCCAGCCTGATAGCTCTCCTTTCAGCATAACCTGTTGTCGTCCCCTCTTTAGCCAGTTCCTTACCCAGTTTCCAATTCCGATATTAATCCCTATCTTAACTAATAATAGTCCATTGTGTCAAATGCTTTACTGAAGTCCAGATAGATTAGATCTACTGCATTTCTCTTGTCTTTAAAAATAAGTTATCTTATCAGAGAAACATATTGGCTTAGTCTAGCATGATCTGTCTTCGGCAAACCCATGTTGCATTTTATCTCGTTTTCTGTTTCAAATGATATCTTTCAACAGAATATAGTGTAAATACCCTTAGTCTTGCTACAAAGGCACCCTAAGTGATGATGCTGAATGAGAGATATTTTATGTCTGAGATGATAGATGTGTTTAGGGAGGGGTCTCTCTCGATATCCAGTGGAGAGTCTCTGGATTTAAAATGTTTTATCACACATATGCAGACACACACACTGTTTTCAGACCTTCATAATTTTAAAACAGGGATTGTCTTCGAACTTGGATTGCTTTTCCTGGTTCAGCAATGTCTAGGATAGCACCACATTTGATGTTTCTAACTAGAGCCTTCTGTGTTGTGCAAGTGCAAAATTTCAGTTGCAACATATGTGTGTGGAATTTTTACTTTCCCTCCTGTCATCCCATCAATCTCAACTTGAAAAACCGCCGAACCAGTTTTGTATATGTTTTTTAAAATGCTCACCTTTGGGCAGAGATTCACATAGATATTTTCAGTTTAAAAAATGTTTTTGAGACTGTTATGAACAAGTAAAAATACCAGTTTACAGTGGACTGTATTATGGGGTTCACTGTCTCAAATGCTATAATACAGAAATCATGTCATGAACCAGACACTGCTAGAGCAACTGTTTAACTGCACAAGCTTAGGACAGGAATTGTAGAACAGCATATTCAGTTTAAACTGCAGGGATGACTCAGGTAGGCAGAAAGGGGGAATTTATGTAGACATAATGTAAATAAGAAATTTAGCCAGGTCATAGGTTAATACAGGGGCAGGCAAAGTTTTTGGCCTGAGGGCCACATCAGGTTTCCAAAATTGTATGGAGGGCCGGCTGGAGAGGCTCTGCCTCCCCAGACAGCCAGGCGTGGCCCGGCCCCCGCCGCCTATTCGTCCCCCCCGCTTCTCGCCCCGACGGCCCGTCTGGGACTCCTGCCCCATCCAACCCCCCCGTTCCCTGTCCTCTGATGCCCCCACCCACCCCCAGGGACCCCTGCCCCATCCACCCCTCCCTGTCCCCTGACGGCCCCCGGACCCTCCGCCCCTGACTGCCCCCTGCTGCCCCATCCAACTCCTCCTCTCCTTCCTGACCTGCCCCCCTCGGGCCCCTGCCCCATCCAACCACCCCTTCTCCCTGACCGTCCCCGGAAACCCTGCCCCTGACTGTCTCCCCGCCGCCCCATCCAACTCCCCCGCTTCCTGACTGCCCCCCTGGGACTCCTGCCCCATCCTGTGGGAGAGAGGGAACAGCAGGGGAGGGGCCGGGGTAGCCTCCCGGCCAAGAGCTCAGGGGCTGGGCAGGAGGGTCCTGTGGGCCGAATGTGACCTGCGGGCTGTAATTTTCCCACCTCTGGGTTAATACCTTTACTGTTGTAAAAAAATGTACTTCGATTGTAAGTGCCATTAGAATTTTAATGATCACAATTGATCAAATTCAGTTTTATGTTGCATTTGAAGGGGATTGTCCTCTTATAATTACGCATCACTAACAGGATATGCAGATTGTCACATGACACCACCATAATAATTCTCTTCAGAATGTGTTTCCTGTATGAATTATGTGAATGAATATTTCTGGTTTAATCAGTATAATCTATATGTACCCATTGCTGGTAGGATGACATGCCAGTTAAGACAATACACATTCCTCAAGCAGAGCAGATTCTCTGTATTAAGAATGTCATTTAGACAAGGGAGCAGAGTGCTTTGTTGTCTAAGGTGATACTTATATTTAAGCTTTAGATATGTAGAAATATACATAGGACTCTAGGACAGTTAGTGTAAATGTTCTGTGAAATATTTCTTTTCCATCTGCCAATGTTTTTTAATTTTAATCACATTTTAACTGGTCGTAAAAGAAGGTGACAAAGTACCTTTCCTGTTTTTCATATTTTTGTAGAATCTGTGAAGCAGCAAAAATACACAGCCTGTTGGAACAGGAGCTGGCTCATGCTGTCAATGCGTGTTCACATGCATTAAATAAAGCCAATCCAAGGTTTCCTGAGGTAAAGGAACAACAAAGCCTTATTTAATAATAAATCAACTGTAGCCCCTGTGTGCAGAAGTGTTTCTGGAGACATTGGAGTAGTCCCGTAGTCCCAGTCACCATTTTCCAGTGGCTAGCATGTTAACTGCTGAGGTAATTGATATCCCAGGCTCCTGATCCTGCAAACATGCTTAACTTTAAGAGTGTGACATAGGCACAACCACCAAATGGGATGGGGAGGAAACCAACCATGTTTTTTCTCCTGCGCCTGCAGCAGCAGCCACAGCACCCCCTCCTTACGCTTGTAGGGTCACTTAATAGCTGATGGGCTCTGTTCAGACTCTACTTCAGTGAGTCTGAAAGGCAGAGGCAGCACCAGCAGGGGCAACCAGAGGGAAGAGGAAGGGGGAGAAGACTCCCTTCCTCCAGACCTGGAGCACATTGGAAGAGGCAGAGGATACCTGACAGCTCCCATCTCACCCTCCTTAGTGGGGAGTAGGAAGGTACTGCTGGGTGAAAAAACGTTCCCTTTTGTGGAAACTGGACCTAAGTGGGAGTGGGACATTAAGCATATTGGAAATAGAGGGGGGCAAAGGAAGATACAGGGGCACAGCAGAGCATAGCATTAAGGGCATGACTCAGAGTGCTGGGAGATGGACACAGAACTACACCCAGGTACAGTCATGTGGGCACACACACACAGATGCACATATATTTTAATTAAGGACATGGTGTTAGTGGGAGAATTTCAGGAGGAGCAGAAATGAGCTCCTAATTTCCCAGCCCAACCCCCACAATTTGAGCTTTTGCAGGATCTGGGCACTAACATGATTTCATGAGCATGAGTTTGTCGGTCCAATTTTGTCTAACCTAACATAATCTACTTAAGCCCTTATTACCATAGTAACTATGCAGGCTAACCACTGCTTGTTAAAGTGTGGCAGCTCGCCCCCTCAAGTGTGATGTGAACAATCCTCATTAATGATCCTTGTTAATAAAAGGTCCAGAGTTTCTTTAGTGGCCTTAGCCAGCCATAAAGAACATGTGGCTAGTCACTTGATACTCTAGCACATCTGAGCCCTCAGTAAACAGAGTCAGGTGAAAACCAACCAGGAAATACAGTACATTTCCCCACTTCCATTCTGGATTCTTATGTAAACTAATACGGTCTGTTTTGCCCCTAAATAAACAGGTGAAATTCCCACAAGCTTGAATGGCAGTTGTAGAGATGCATCTGAGATCTAATTTTGGCCTCTGTACGTTGCTCTATATCTTATTCCCTTTGGTCTGGTAGAATAAACTTGTCAAGCAGAGCTGGATCAAGCTGGTTCCTTTTGGAAAAACTGGCCAAGGTTGGGATTGTAAACTCAATGTACTTGTGCTCACAGTTTAACTTATTTGACTGTTTTGCTTCTATTCCCCAGAGTCTTACCAGAAATACTGCCATTGAAATAGCTGTCAATGTGAAGGCACTACATAATGAAACTGAATCTCTACTAGTAGGAAGGGTTCCTTTGGTAAGAAGATAAAATAAATGTTGTATAACTTGTCCCTGTGTATGTCATGCTTCTCTAAAGAAGCACCATAGCGTTATAGTGCAATGAAATACTATACCCCGAAACCTATAAAAGCCTGAATCAGAGGATTTTATACTACACCTATTACTGAGTTGGAATGGATTATGAATTGTTCTCCTAGTCCATTCACCTGCAGCATGGCAGGAATTAGTTTCTCTTCCAAAACCATTGTTAATTGATGAGTGTCCAGTAAAGTTTTGTTGGCATTGAAAGTCATTGCATCTCTTCTCCTGGTTGCTTGTTTGTGGATCTATAAGTAGTTAAGTTGTTCAATAATAACACATTGTGCTCTGGACATACTGTTAGAAATTGGTACATTTGATATGGTGAGGGGAGGAGGAAAGAAACAGGGTTCCTCATGCTCTTCTATCAATTGATACACTAAGTAGGAATGGTTATGTCTTTTTCATGCCTTTAGTCTTCAGATTCAGGAGAAAATTTATTAATATTTTATTAATTACCCTAAGTGTGTGGTAATTACAAATGGATATCGATTGGAATATTTTCCTGTAGAGGGACTTGAGTCTGAAAGGAATGGTATTAAGATAAAGACCCTTTCACATCCTAAATAAATGGTACAAATCCACTCTATTTCCATAGTGACTAAAATCATTGCCATCTGAAGACTGTGTCAGCAGTTCACTTCTAGAAATATTAACATGTTAGGCACATGCTCTGCTTTATTTAACTTTAGGAAGGGAACAATGCTCTTAGATACATTTATCCAATATAGGGGAAAAAATCTGCTGAGATTTCAAATTCCTATATGTTAATGTGGAGGCACGAATGCAATATTTGGGCTGTAAAATGTTTGGGGAAAGAAATTTGGTTGAACAGTCTTCAGGTGATGATTGGGATGCTATTCTAAAAGTGGTATAATGTATCAAGGGCTGATAGGACATGTTTAAATTATGAAATCATACACACTGAAACCCCTCATTTTTCAGTCAATAGAGGCACAACCTCACTCTTCGAGTATCTATGCTAAACCATTTTTTTTAAACAAGGTTGTTATCCTATATCAATATATTTCTGTGTCAGTCCGCGTGTTGACTTTAGAGATACTCATAACTCTCATTTGTGAATCAGCACTAAAACTTAGCCTTGGACAGTCTTGTTGGCTTGTACTTCCATCAGTGCTGAAACAACATGTAGGTTGGGCTGACCCATGGAGATGATGGATACAGCTGAAATTTTTGGTGTTACTTAAACTGCCAGTCAGACACCATACTCCAGTTTAACTGTCTCCCCTGACAAGGAAGCAGATCTCTTAATTTGTTCCTTCCTTATTTTTACTTCTTTTCATCTGTCCAGTTCTTCCACACTCCCCTTTTCGGCGCCCAGTGCTCCTGACAGCCATGCAGTTGATACCATCATTGCCTGTACTGCCTGTTGATCTTTTTTTGGGAGGGGGAGGCAGCTGGGGTTGTCTCTACCAGTGTTGCTCCTTCCATCTCAAACTTCTCCTCCCCCTACTGAGAAGGTCTAATTGACAAGTCAGACTCTGATTCACTGAGCTAATCTTTCCATTAGAAACAGGAAGGTTCTAAGACTTCATGGTCTGTTAGACATGCAGAGAAGAGATCTTGCACTAAGTTGGTCAATTCTCTTATCTCTGCTGGAGTTTCACTATTGATTTCAGTGGAAGCAGGATCAGGCCCTTAGTTCACTTTCTCACTATAAGTTCAGAATTAATTGATTTTCCACTGTCAAAATGTAATTCTCTGAGACTCTTTGTGAGACCTTAGGTGCCATCTGAGGAAACCCATTCCATTTGGACCAGTCCACTTCTTTTATCTTGCCATGAGAAGAACAAATCAAAAACAGGATAATCCAGAAAATGAAAACATTCTAAAGTGATGTCCTCCTCAGAGGAAAGAGAGAGGCTTCGTTGTCATCTATGCCCAGAGTCCAAGCCTCCCCCAAACACCACAGTGCAACTCAGAGCATCAAGCAGCCTGTGGGGGGGAAAAAAAATTAAGGCTGCTGTGACTCTTGTATTTTCTCCATAAATCTTAGAAACTTCTTTAAAAAGAATCCCTTCAAAAAATCCCATGACAAAGGAAAACTAAGATTTCCAATCCGATTACACTAAACAGTAACATTTTACAAGAGAAGAGCTCTCACTACAAAAAAATGTTAACATACAGATACTCTAATGGCAAGAAGGAAGAAAGTATTTTACTATACCTATAATTAATTCTACCTACCAAGATATACCTCAAGAACATTTTTTTCCTCCAGAACCAGAGATCAAAGGCCCTTTCAACAACCATGTAAATCTTTGCTATCCAGCAGGTCCAATCCCTACAGATCCCTCTGCAAGAGCACCAGTCTGGACTATCTTGGCTACAGACAAATGGACTCTTAAAATGGAATCCATGATACCATGTATTCTGTAACTCTGCAGAATTTGACACAGAATCCAACCTTTCAATGCAGAACTGTGCCCTAGAATCTATGCTTTCATTTCAATAGAAAAATAATGAACTTCAAGTCCTCTTAATTATGAAAATTAAATTTGAAATTTTGAAAATGTAATGGCAGTTTAAACTGATGCCATGTGTCTGCTTGATTCTGATCCCAACCCCAAACGGTATCTCTGAAAAGTGTGAATGGTCCCATCGATCTCAGTGGGGTGTTTACTCTGAAACCTCATGATGGCAATTTAAAATTTCAACATGATGGATCTTTTTAGCAGAAATATCCAGCTATTGTGCTTATCCCACATCACAAATGGTCACCAACACCGTTCCTGGTGCCAAAAGTCTCAGCTGATATTTCCAGCTTCTACACAGTGCTCCATTTCAGTACAAACTCTATGGCAGCGTTTCCCAAACTTTTTTGGCCACAGAACACTTTTTAGCCTATTACGGAACACTTATAATACTATTTTGTAGTCGGTTTTCAAATAAAAAAATGCGTTATTTACGCTCAAATATATTTTATTTTATAAAACAAAGCAAAAATACAAATTTAAAATAACTTGAACTAACAATTTCTAACTGGAAAGCGCATATAAAGTAGTACAAAAATCAAGTGCAAGAGTCAAAATTAAAAACAGTGTTCTACTTAAAAAAACCTGTTTTTATATATACACAAACGCCAAACAAATTAGATGTTTACTAGGAAAATCTGTTTTTATAAACAGAAATACAAATTTGGATTTAATGGGATTGGTGTTTCTGCATTTTTCTATCACAAATTCGCTTAATATTAGGAATAATGCTGGAAAGTTGAATCCTCATGTCGGATGCAGCATCAAGTCTATTCCTATATTTGGTTTTTGTTGCAGTATAATACAAAAGTCCTGTCTCACACAAATAAGTTGTAGCAAAAGGAAGGAGCATTCGAACTGCACGTTTAGTCACATTAGGGTACTCTTCTATTAGGCTGCTCCAAAAATTATTCAGCAGAAGATCCTTAAACTTTTGTTTCAAATCAGAGTCAGAAATTAAGTCAATTAAGCTTTCATAATCGTGCACAGTAAAGCCAACTGGTTTGGCTGTAATTACAACGGATTTCGAACCCAAGCATCATTAGTAGTTGTAGGAAAATATTCTAATAAAGAGGCCTGCAAGTCACGTAAGTGCTGTAAAATGGTGCTGGAAACTTCTTCATGGACTGTAGAATTTATTTCAGTCAGAAATTCATGTACTGTAGAGAAGCAGTCGAAGTTATTCTGTTCTATACAGGGCTGGCTCTAGGCACCAGCAAAGCAAGCAGTTGCTTAGGGCGGCAAATTTGCAGGGGCGCAAGAATCCAGCATGGGAGCTGAGAACCAACAGGGGGCCCTGGGAGCTGTAGTTCCTTGGTTAGCTCCCTACCTATAGAGCCAGCCCTGGAGCAGGGAAAGAACTACATTTCCCAGCATTCCCTCAGCCACAATTAACAGGAAAGGGAGGGGGAAGGAGTGTAGAACTGAAACCTCATGCTGCAGCTTGCTGTGAACGGTAGGGACAGAGCCAGCTCTAGTTTTTTTGCCGCCCTCCACCCCAGCCCTGGGCTCCCCCCGCACTCCTGTGTTGCCCCAGCCCTGGACTCTCTCCCACCCACACCCCCTGCTGCCCCAGCTGTGGCCCCCACCTGCACCTCCTGCCGCCCCAGCCCTGGGCTCTTCCCCCAACCCGCATCTCCTGTCGCCCCAGCCCTGGGCTCTTCCCTCCCCCCGCACCTCCTGCCGCCGCAG